GAATCGTCGAGATCAATGTTCAAAAGAGTCGCAGTTTTCTATGCCCTTATGCTCTCACGTAATTTAGTCACTTTGTGCCCGCCGTAGATATCCGCGCACAAGAGCTTCCAGGAGGCTGATGTCAGGTTGCAATGTCACAAAGTGGAGACACATTCCTGGGCTTCAGCTCTGAGTGTTCCAGCAGAGGAGATAGACTACCATTCCTAGAAAAGAAGCTTGTTAGTACGTCTTTCCCCAAGCAGGTGCCACTCAGTAAAGCTCACAGTGGACAGGAAGAAACGCCCAGAACGGCACTGAAGGAACCTGTGCTCGCTATGCTACTGCTTGTGCTGCTTGATGCTGTCTGACCTTCCACTTCGGATCATGTCCCTTTGGACTCAGGAGGGCGAAGACGCAGTGTGGTCCCACCCAATTGATGTCCATTACGCATGTCGGGGGCTTAGCGGATGGCCCAAAGTCCACTTCCAGGTTTGGCATCAAGACATACATGGACGGAACGATATAAGTGAGTCTGGTCAGCTCTGCTCCCAATGTTTTAGCAGGTCTTGGATTGACTAACATGAAGGAGAACACTTGAGCTTGTGACCATGACCCTTGGGTTTAGCTTAACGGCGTCCTGACCCAGTCTCTTGTTCTGTTTGGCCCCACCTTTCAAGCTGTGTGTTCGCACGGAACTTTTGTTTGTCAAGAAGCGGTTCTGAGTAAAGTGTCTGGGGATGGGCCATCCTTCCTGATCGCAACCGCTGGGAGATTTCTGCCGCTTTCTAGGAAATATTCTAGGACAAATCGCCCCGTCCAAGGCTCATCGTAAAGAAGAGAAAGTCTTAAGACACCGGCCTGTGCTTGGGGAATCGTGGTCAACGCGATATGCATTTCAAGGGGGCCCCTCGACGCTGTACTTGAGCAGACCAGATGTTCAGTCCGTTAGCCTTGTCTAGCATTATCAATCACGTGCTTACACCTATTTGGACGATCTGCGAAGCTTTCATCGAGTAGGGGCTCTGAACGAACCGGTGGTTCATAAAGTCGCCCAGCTATTCGTGCTCTTTTGACGTAGTCTGTACTTCTGATCCTCTTCCGACGTCTGATTCAGTTCATGGAACCGAAGACATTTGACTGGAAACCAAGAGTCAAGGGAAATCGAGGATCCGGAGGACCTCCCTTGTTGTCACCTGGACGATATGCTGGTGTTGAATTCTAGGCGTGGAAAGTCTTGGCATAACATTTCAACTAATTGACCATTTTTGGGAAAGCACATTGCCCACTCCTCAAGAAATCAGAACTGAGCACGAAGTGGAGGTCATGCACGTCCAGTCACCTGTCGGTCCTCAGAATGCCTGCATTTGGCCCCTGGAATCTTCAAGATCTGCCCTTCCCCATCATCATTCCCTCTAGCGTCTCATGTAGCATCTTGTTCTTAGGCTTATGTTTGCCGCTTCAGGTGGCTACGGCTTTTGTCATATACCAATGGAAGCTGGCGGTTTCAACTTGGACTGTGTCACATGGTTGCCGGAAGGCTCACTCCTGGAGCGGATATCAGGTTTACCGTTCTAGCTTCTTTCCGCTTCGGTCTGGTACCGTCTTTCGGGAAGGTCGTAAGAAGTGTCCTGCTTCAGGTTTTGTTCACGTGACCAACGAGGGTGTCAAGCTGCCGTTCCACATCCGGCCATGTAGTGCCCGTTCAACCTCCAGAGTATTTCATGCAATATGCAGAGTGAATTAGCGCGTTGAGAATGGGAAAGGTCGGCTCTTTGACTAGCTCTTCTATTCTGAGATGTTACCTCGCGGCAGAGTTTAGTCAAAGAGCTTCGACTTTGCGCCAAGAGGGTTTTCTCTACTCCGAATCTAACTTCTGGAGGCTTAGTACATCAGAGTCCCCCGGAGCGGCAGTCGAAGTGTATTTCGGTTGAGACGGCTAACCGTGCGCCTAGCTCACACCTCTTCAATTTGTATGCAGCATTCTTCATTGGTGGGGGCCCTCGTTTAAAAGTTGAAGAAACGGTGTACAATTGCGGTGATCGATTCAGATTGCAAACACGGGCTGCTGGCACCGTACACATACAAGTAAGTGTCTTGTTGAAAGACTTTGCACGCCATGGTATACGATACCGGTGAGACTGGAACTTCGTGCAAGAGTAGGCATGACCCTGAATCGAGCTGCGCATGTTGTATGACTTGATTCGATGCTTGTCCTGTTCCTAAGGCTAAGCGTTGTAAAGGATGTATTGCGCCAGCAACGACACACCCATGGCACTCATAGAGTCGTATGCCAAACTCGCGCAGATCGGATCTTTAGATCCAGAAAGCGCAACGTAGCCGCTTGCACAATGGTAAACGTCTCCTCATGAGGATTCAAGATGCCATGTTTCATATGCATAGAAGGTGAAGAGCGCTAGCGGCCACGACAACGGCCGGAAGGGAGGATCGACGTATAGTCATGATTCGTTTTGGGTCGGAGCTTGCATGCGCAGGTTCGCTAACATGTAGGACTTCGAAAGGAAAAGCTTTGGCGCACTCAGTGTGCATGCCTTGATTATCCAAATATACATCAAGCTGCACCGATTGCATTATTACGTGGGGCATGAGAGTGACGAGACGAGCTGACCGACCTGGCTCTGCTCAAATCAACGAGCGGTTCCATAGGTGGGTCGAGCTGCACATTTGCAATTTCTCCTTCCTTGAATCGTGCTTATCTTTAAACGTCCAAGCCAAGCATTCACAGTCTGTGGCGGCCAACGAAGGTTACAACAGGAATAGCTTCAGTCTTGCTACACAACATGCTCATTCAGAACGACCAATTTTTCTTATGTCGACGTTTCTTTTGACACAGCAACATGCCACTCGCTTCAAGGTCTTCTGATGACAACTTGGACTTCAAACAAACATACAGTATTACCTGAGGTTATGGTCGTGAGTCTCTCAGAAGCACTGGGTACGCGCCGGTTGCTATTATGTTCCATCCCCCTAGACTTTCAAGCTTCCAAAACTGGGCGCTGAAAGCCGACACCTGGGTCAGTCAACTTACTGTACATGCACATAAATGGCCACTATAACCTCAGGGCCCAGCGGTTGATCCTCACGACTTGATTCTATCATATTGCCCGCACACACAAGGTCGTCTACAGTGGTTGCCAACCTAAATCACCTGGGCTTTCCAAGCAGAACAAACGCCCCGCTCAAACAACCGCCAAAGTCACTTCTTGCCTTCTTCTACTTTGAGAGGATGTCCATCATCGCTTCGCTCCGTTGCTTTGTCCACAACTCCAGACACCTCCTCCCCTTCCTCTGCTTTCCCCGACCGCTCTTCCCCACCTTTTTTGGGTGCTGATGCTACCGGTGGATGACTCCAACCTTTCCCGGTTGACCCCTCTTCTAACGTACTACCTCCCAAAGCAACAGCTGGCTCCTTCGCTGTTGCTCGTTCTGTTGCGGACGCCACAGGGACGTCATTCTTAGTCTCAGCGGTAACTACAATAACAGTCCCTTGTGCTGGCCCCGAAACGTCATCATTTCGTCTCTGCTGCTTGAATACACTGGGCACAGCGAAGAATCCCCGTTTCTCTTCCGCTAGTGTTACACTCTCGGGCCTTGTTTCATCGCCCACCAACTCCACTTGGCTTCCAGAATCCGTCACATTCTCTCCCGACAAGGCCTCGTCCGCCTTTGCCTCCGACGCTCCCTTCCCCGTTTCCGCCGACCCCGTCTTCGTT